TCTACCTTGTGGTTGTAGAAATGGCCATTGATGGAGAATCGGTGGCGTCTGATTCGCCTCTGGTCACTGGGTGTCCTCACGTTGCCACGGCGACGCACCCCAACGTCACTGCGCGTGCGCATCAGCTGTGGGGTGTCTTCCTGCAGGGTCTTCAGGCCCCTGGAGTCTAAGAGGGAAGGGAGAAACGAGCTCGGTCTGCCTGGACCCGGGATGTGGCGGTTCGCACACAGTACCCTTTTTGTGGCCAATGCTACGGTACCCACGGCCGCCTCCCCCAAAACGCGTTTCATAAAAACAGTGTTTCCCGCTGGGGGGGTAGGGGTGGAAACATATGGTATGATGCACTGAGAAGCAATCCAGTGACAAGGTTCAGAGCACAGACTTCAGAGCCAGATTCCCAGGGTCAAGTCCCAGCTCCACCACTGCCACGTATCATGAACCCCTCTATGCCTCAGTTCCCTCACCTATAAAATGGGCATCACAGAATTGTTGTGAGAGTTTAGTGAATTAATTCACACAAAGCACTTAGAATAGCGCTTGGCACAGGATAAGCACGACATAAGGACGTGCAAGATATAGCAAGCTGACAATATCTTCAAGATTACACATGCGCATAGCCTCAGACCCAGAAATTCCACTTGGAAGAATCCTACAGACACTGATGAATGTGCGAAATGACACGTGTACAAGGCCACTAACTGCAACCTTGTTTGTCACAGCGAAAGCCTGGAATGACTTGGGGTACCTGGGTGGTTCAGTTGGTTAAGTGTCAGACTCTTGATTTCGGCTCAGCTCACAATCTCATGGTTCTGTGGGATCAAGCCCCACGTGGGGCTCCGAGTTGATGGCATGGAGCCTGCTTGGGATTCTCTCTGTCCCTCTCTCTGTCCCTCCCCCGCTCATGTGTTCTCTCTCTCTCTCTCAAAACAAATAAAAGACTGGAATGACTTCAATGTCTATCAGCAGGGAGTGATCCACATTTCTTCACACAATGGAAAGAACACAGAAGTTCTTCATGGATTTGTACGGAACAGTCCTCAAAACAAACTAATAGAAACAGGGATGTGCAGGGGCACCTGGGTGGCTCAGTCGGTTAAGTGTCTGACTTCAGCTCAGGTCATGATCTTGCTCGGTTTGTGAGTTCAAGCCCCACATCGGGCTCTGTGCTGACAGCTCAGAGCCTGGAGTCACCTTCAGATTCTGTGTCTCCTCCTCTCTCTGCCCCTCCCATGCTCATGCTCTGTCTCTCTCTCTCTGTCTCTCAATAATAAATAAATGTTAAAAAAAATTTTTTTAAAAAGAAAAAGAAACAAGGATGTACAAAATGCTACCCCTTATGTAAATGGGGGAAGAAAAGAAATGACGTCCGACGATAAAGGTATGTTGCTGTGTATTTGCTTGTATTCATATAGAATATCTTGGCAAGATATTCTCACCATGCCTTCAGGTTTTTTCTAGGGAGAGAACCTCTAAGGTGAGTAAACAAAATGGGGAGTTTTCACCTGTTTCCTTTGAATCCTCTTTGAATCCTGAACCATGTGAATTTCATTTATTTAATTTACAACATCTATAACCGCATCGGTCTTCACATAAGTGGGCCCAAAGCAGGAGCCCTGCCCTCCACGCACGTACCTGTGGGACTTGCTGTCTGTTCACTCTCCGGTGGGGCATCCACTTCTGAGATCTGAATGTTGGGCACGGTGAGGGGCTTCAGGATGGTGCTGGGGAGGCAGAAAACAAAAAGAAGCCTGGCTCAGCCCCTGTGGAGAGATACTCCCTCTCCTGCAGGGGGAGTACTTCGCCTGTGCCAGGCAGGGGACCAGCCACACCCTCATGGATGGCCCGTGCTAAGTGTCCCATGAGGCTGGCCCGGCTCCAGGGCTGAGCCCTGGGTAGGGAGGGGGTATGTCGGAGGAGAATATGCTCATTCCCAGCATCTGCAGCAACATAAGCACCCAATTCACCAAGGCCAGGATGGAGAACACCGAAGAACAAAATCCACGTGCTATGTGCGTGCAGTTTCTAAGCACATACGGGTTCTATAGCTTCTTTGGGAAACCCTAATAATCTCCGGACAAGATTCCAGTTCAGATCCTTTTCTGTTGTAGGAGTGACTCTAAAGGAATCTAAAAGGAATGGCATCTAAAAGGAATGGAAAGTATCTAAAAGGAATGGAAAGTAACAGGTTGGTTGCCGTGAGGGTCAGGGCCTCATCGGAGGGGCCACTGATGATGGCGTTCTTGGGATTGCCGGACGGAATGCTCAGCCGAGCTGGAGAAAGGATCACAAGCAGGCAGTCTGAGCAGAGTCCTGGTGTTGCCATGGTAATTGGCAAATGACTCCCCGAAGCCAAAAGGGATAATGACAGCAGCTCAGAGAAGCACACCCAAAATCAACAGAGGATTTGGCTCGAAAGGAGAATCATACTTAACCAATGAGGACCATCCCATAATGAGAAGAGTGTGGGCTCCCTGGCACCCAGCAGAGATGGGACTTATGGTCCAGGGATGATAGTTTTAAAAGACAATAAAAATTGAAAATCTGAAAGAACTTCCTGTTGTAGTAGAACTCTGGACTTCTGACCCTAGAATGGAACTGGTCAGAGCCTCTCAGGAACGGTGAGCACTGGACGCTCACAGGGGCCACCGCCCATTCCCGCATCGAGGCAGAAACTGGCCTCAGCATCCTTCTGGACACAGTGGTCCAGGCAGTCACGTTATTAGAGCAGGCATCAGAGCTAACATTCTTACAGTTCTGACAACTCTCTCAAAGTACTAGTAGGTTTCAAGAACCAACCAAGACCGCTTGATGTTGCAGGGATGGGGGAAGAAACAAGTGTGCAGAGTGAAGGACCCCTTAGCAGGCTCAGCCGAAAATCACGCGGTCAAACGGCATTTTAAAAATCCTCTCACTTAGGGGACGGAATGCAGCATAGTCTGGGCACTGGGATGCGGCTGTGGAAAGGGCTTGACCCACAGGAAATCAAATATGGTAGAAATGCTGAAATCAGAGTGGAGTGAGAAACCATCAAAGACAGATGAAGCCAGAGAACCTTGACTAGACATCGCAGCGCCTGATGGGATGGGCAACAACTTCCCTCCTAAAATTCCCTTGGAAAGAAAGCAGATCAGCTCCAGGGTTTGGCCACAGTGTAGCTTTCTCTCCACTTTAGAGAAAGATTGATTTGGCTGTGGAGTTTAACAGAACATTCAGCGTGTCCAACAGACAGGGCTTGGTTCTGGGTTAAAACAGAAAACACATCGCAGCGGTTTTGGCTGCGAGGTCGGCACACCCCTCCCCACCCCCCCCAGACTCCGGCCCCAGGGCAGCAGGGACCAGTGACAAGTGTCTGGATGGAACGCAGCTAGTCACTTGATACCAAGAACTAAAGTTCCAGAAAGAAGGCCCAGTAAAGAGGGCGGGCC